TATTCGAATAATCAACATTTCAATGAGATATAAATCAGCAAATAAGATGAAAATGTAATTGACTCAATGATTAATGACTATTTTTAAACAACTACCTCCAGTTAAATAATGGCATTAACACTTTAAAATTTTATTCTGAAGGTCAGTGTTTTTGAACATAATTTGAAAAATAACTTATTAAACTGAAAATTAAATAGCATAATCTAATGTTTCTTTCATCAAAAATGAAATTCGAAAACTTTCCCAAAATATTACCGATTTATACAATTAAAATTAATAGTATTTTTTAAAAATTAGGATCATTGCTGATAGAACTATATAAACAAAGTATCAACTAATTTTAAAAAGAATTTTAAATTAACATTCAAAAACAAACTAACAAACTTAGCTTGAATGAAAAAGTCTTATAGATTACAAATGTCTTATTAGATACTAAATATATATAAACTATACATTTTAACTTAAGAAACTTTAAATTAACTTTCAGAAACTTAAATTAAATTTCAAAAAAAAAAACTGAGGAAAAAAATAATTATTTTCTGAAAAATGCCCGACCTTAATTTATTTCTATTTAATGCCTACCTATCTAATTAGATAAACTCACAAATATTTTTGCGTTATTTTTTATAATGCAACAATGCCCTAAATGTTTCTACTGGATATTATTAATTTTTTGAAATATTCATTTGCAAATTAAAAATATTAAATATATTAATTATACAATATCAGTATTATATAATATTAATATATAAATTTATACTATTCTAAGAACTATAAACAAGAGAATAATAGTAGTTTTTAAAATTACTAAAAACCATAAATAACCTGATTGTAAGTATTTACTCGGGATAGTCTATACCCACCAAGCCTACATATAGGGCAGTTGCCCCGGTCCCCCGCATCTGAGGAGAGAGGGGGGGGCAATTCAAATCGAAAGTTTATTTTACGTTTCCTTCTTTAACGAACTTTTTTTAAGCAAAACATCAATTCAGTGTAAAATCCGTCAGTTTTATGTTAGCTTCTTCATTAATTTTTAGTATGAAAGCAAAAAATCTATATTTCGTAAATCCATGGCTTTCTAGGGCGGAATTCAGCTAAATGTTTGTAATTACGATGGACAAATTTGACCAATCAAAAGCCTGTGTTTTTAAATATCGTAAAATGCGATATGTTTACAAAAATACGTGCTTCCAATTGGCTTAATTGAGCCATCGTAATTGCAAAAATTTAGCTGGATTCCTCCCTAATGTCAGCAAGGATATGAAATTTTCGAAGTTATATGACAAAGTTAACAATAAGTTATCCCATTGTTGAGCGTTTTATGCATTTTTAATTCAGTTAATGGAAAGAAAATAATAAATGTGTTAAAATAACAATTGCTTTAAATTTTTTTCATAACATTTCCTAATTATGAATTTAATAGCATTTTTGTCAAATTTTAACTCTTGAGATGTGCTATATCCTTTTAATGGTGTATTTAGAATTGTCAGAAAATCAATAAAATGGACCGAACGAGGGACTTCATAGCTAATTTAGGTCAATTTTCTAGCTATATATGTATAATGAGGTGAAAATTTTTAATACTCCATAAATATTTGTTTTTCATTATTGAAGTAGTGAAGCAGAGGGGGCCTCCAAAGAGTTTTTTGCCCCGGGTCCCAATTAGGCTAAGTCGGACCCATTCATGAATGCCCGACTTATTAGGTATTTTCCAATGCTAACGAGCGGAATGGGATGAAAGTTGGCGAACTCGGCNTAAGTGAAGCAGAGGGGACCTCCAAAGAGTTTTTTTGCCCCGGGTCCCAATTAGGCTAAGTCGGACCCATTCATGAATGCCCGACTTATTAGGTATTTTCCAATGCTAACGAGCCGAATGGGATGAAAGTTGGTGAACTCGGCTAAAAACAATCTCCAATGCTTGTAAATGTTGTGTGTTATGAAGACGACAGTGTAGTGAGAAAACAGAAATCAAATGGCTGTAGGGTCATTCCACGAAAAGTGAGAACAAAATATTAAAAAGAAATCTATCTTTTTTTCTGATACAAGATCTATAACCTTTATTAGTTAAAGGTTCAAATTAATTGAATTTCAAGCAGTTTTTAAGAAATTTGTTTCTTTTGAGTGGCAACAGTGTGATAAAAATCGCATTTTTAAGACTAACTTTAAGCCATGGAATTTTAATTTGAGGAGATAATCAATTATACTCAGATTAAGTTAGTAACTGTTCTTAGCTTTCTTATTCTTGCCGGAATTTTAAATAATATTTGTCTGAGAAATATTTTTTTGAAGTTATAAAGAATATATATTCCGCACGTGACGAACAAGATGGATTTTTCCCAATAGCAATAAAATTAACTGTTATTATGTTTTCAAATTTTATATCTAAACATTGATTTAACATTTCTATTGAATGAATTCATAGAAATAGCGTAACCTTTTCAAAAAAAAAAGTTATGAAGATGACATTTCGCATGTGTCCGAAAGCAAATATTGCAAATTCCAAAATATTTTTATGACTTAGAAATAAATAAAAAAGCAAATATAAAAAACAACTGTGCAAAGACAGTATTAAATGTTACCGAAATAAAACAATGAATTATATAGCAGAAAGACAACGATAACTGTTGAAATTCAATGTCAATGTACTGATACCGAATTAACTTCGAATCGTGGAAAAAAAGTCACACTAAGAAAATTTTAATGATTGCATGCTTCAATTCAATTATTTAGGAAAAATAATGCTCACAAAAAGTACAGATAAGATTTAAATATCAATGAAGCAAATTTTTGAGCAGTGTTGGCTCAGGGGATAAAGCGTTCGCCTTCCAATGAGGTGAACTGGGCTCGAATCCCAGAGGTGGCTGGTTGATACTAATTCCACATCCGGCATGCACCGACCACAGTGCTGACGTAAAATTCCTCAGCGGTTGAAGGATAGTGGGTTAGAGTCTCCTTGCCGTCAGGCTAACCGTGGGAGAATTTCTTGGTTTTCTTCTCCATGTAGCGCGGGTTAGTTCCATCAAAAAGTCCTTCACGAAGGCAATTTTCTCCTAATACTTCATCCAGGAGTTCCCTTGTCGTCTGGATTGCGTTCAAAATTAAAAGGCTTCTGGTGTGAACATTAGTTGTCGTAAACTCAAAATTGGCTCGGCTGATCAACGATGGCTATAAAATATAAAATTAAATGAAGCGAATTGAACATTAGAAAACATTTATAAATGAGAAATTCCTGAGAATACTACAGTTCCACATGTGATCCAAAACAAATTGTAAAAACATTTTCCACACTCCACGATATATTGAGACTAAAGAAAAAAATATAGTTGTAATTCTTGGAGAAAAATTTTTATTTTATTTTCTGTTTCCTATTTTATTGAAGCCTAGTGGAATTTGCTTCATTTAATAAACTACCGTGAGAAATAATTTTATTATTGAAATGTTTCAATACGTTGTAAATCTTTTTAATAAAGGTCTACAATTGGTCAAAAATAATGTTGAAGTTGTTTCATTACGAACCGTCACGAGCGGGACATTGTGTTTTCTTATTTGATGTCCCACATGGGAGTGGCTATAACCAACTTTAAAAAAAATAATTGCAATTCAAATATGAATTCGAACATAAAAATCATTGTGAAGCACTTACATAAGTATACTTTCGATGTAAAATAATATATTGTTTAAATAATATCTTTAAATTGGCTTCATTCATTGATTTATTTCAAAAATAATGTATTTGCGCAGTTTCAGCTCTCTTCCGCATGAGACGCTTAGTTTAATTGTTCTAATTAATGCAATTCCTAACTTACAAAAAAGTTTTTGGTTTTGAAAAAATAGAGTNAATAATGTATTTGCGCAGTTTCAGCTCTCTTCCGCATGAGACGCTTAGTTTAATTGTTCTAATTAATGCAATTCCTAACTTACTAGAAAGTTTTTGGTTTTGAAAAAAATAGAGTTATTTGGGCAGTTCAAAATAATTGCATAAAATTTTCGGTTTTGTAAGTTACTTAACATATTATAATACAATTGATGAAGAAAATGCCCTAGAAATCGCCCCACACTTTATGTAGTGTGTGATATTAGAAAAAAATAATAAATAAAATCCTTTGTTGAGTTTAACTGTATTCCTTTGGCTAATTTTTAACCACAAATGACAACTTTTTCTTTTACCACTCTTATTATGTTTCTAATCCCAAAAATTAAATTCGAAGGCTAACTTAGTATTTTAACACCGAAAAAAAGAAATCACAATCACTAATTGCGATATTTTAGTTATTTTTACCACAATCAAAGCGTGAAGTAGTCGAAAATTAGGGAAATCAAAAATTCCAATTGCTATCGTTGACCACAATTAGTCACCTTTTAGCTTGTTATTTATTTATTTTTTTCTTTATTACTCTTAGTTTAGCTACAATCTTAAGAATAAGGTTGATTTAAAAACATGCCTTTTTAAAGTATGCTTGCATTTGGGTTTGCCATGCATTCTAATTATTAAGTATTCTCAACTTTTCATCTTTTTATCCCCATCCATTTCTTTTTTCTTAATATATATATATATACAAGCATTCTCTAGTTTTTTCATCAATATTTTAGTAGTTTAATAAATAATTTTCTATTTTTAAAATGGGCAGTGAGGGAGAAAGAAAAATATTTGAATAAAAAGAATATAATTGAATTTTAAAATTCATTTTCCTCAACAAAAAAAAAAAAACCGCTGTACACGTACATGGGCCACCCGAAACAAACGCCCCTTTCTTGCTAATCATGACGCCACTTCTGCAGCGCCGCCACTGATTTGTACGTGAAAACACAAAAAAGTAGAGACTAAAAACGAAACTCAAAAAACCGAAAACGAAACTAATACAATTTCTTGAAAATATTTATGTTTTGCTAGCTGAGATATATCTGTGTCTTTTTAATATTTCATTATTAAATAATAAAATAGAATTACAGAAAATTTAATTAAGTGGCAACGTTATTCGCTGCCGGTAGCGCCGACATCGGAGTAAGAGAAAAATAAAATAATAGATGATTCGAAGGAGAAGGGAGTGTTCTTGATTTTTGTTGAAAATTATAAATTTTTTATGTTTGCAGATTGTATTTAAACGTTACAGTTATTTTCTTAAATTTTATTTAAAATTTATTATTTAATATCAGTTTTTGTCATAATTAAGCTCAAAGATCTGTAGTTCTGAAAAGAGCAATTTTTTGCGCTCTCTAACAGCCCTTTGGGCGGTCGTGTAAACCCCGTAGTCTAGAACATCACGTTGTACCGCTCTCTCGAAAAGCCGCAAGTTGAAATCGATCTGCGAATGGATGTCCGAGCTTTGGTAAGAGCAAATCATTTTCGAATACCTGTAACATGTTGAATTCGTTGAGAAAGGGGTGGCCAAACTCCCTGATCGTCCCCCTAAACTCTTTGGCTGGTTAATGAAAGGAACATAGGTGCAATATTTTATCAAGGCTAAGACTAAAATGTTCAGGATTATCTCTAAATTTTTTTAAAAAAAGTTTGCATTATTAATTTTTTTCACAAGCCTTTTAAGCATAAAATTATTAACTTTATTCAATTTTTTAGTGTTAAAATACTTTATTCTAAGGAATTATACATTTTTTATTTACACATACAAATGATAAAACACATTTTATCATTATATTAGTTAATTTAAATTTATATCTTTCGGATGCTAATTAGCACAATAAAAAAGAAAAAGTGAGCGATATATTTGTTTAAAAATCTTTAAATTTTTTTAGTCAGCCTTAAATTATTGAGAATTTTATTTAACATGTTTAATTAATTTGAACTTAGTGAAATAAATCCTCTCTCAAGGTTGGAATCCCTGGTATTGAAATAATTTCAAATAAAATCAATTTATGTTCATTATTAGTTAGAATTATTTTTTTTTCCATTGCAGTTTAATTAGCTTTCATTAATAACTAGAAAGATTACAGCAGGGCTTAGCTACATATGCAAACTAAAAATTTCTGTTAATAAAAGTTATTCTATTTTTTCCTTATATTTATTTTAAATTTCAAAGTAAATATTTTAATATAATTTAGGAGAAATACACTTTTATATACGATTAGTTTATTGCAATAAAATAATTTAATTAAAAAAAATTTTCTTCAAGAAAAAAAAAAGCATTTTCTATTCAAAAGAGTGTGTAAAATATTTTTCTATTTAACAATTTTTGAAGAATGTTTTACTTTACCTCCGGAAAACTATCTTGTAAGAGTTGGCTAAGTGCAAGATTTTTTTTTTTCAAAAAAAAAAAAAAAAAANTTGAATTTATTTGATTTAAATCAGATTTCTTTTAATTATTTAAATCAATTTTGTTAAATATTTACCAGCTAAATTATTTGATAAAATCTATTAGCAGTATTTAATATTTATTTTTACAAACTAGTCACTGAATTAAAAAAATCGCATTTATTTTTTTTTCATTCAAAAATTTTAAAGACATGGAAGTAGTTTGTCTGTTAGATATCAGGTTGGATTACAGTAAAGCTGCTTTGCTATAGTTCTACCCACTTTTAAGAAAAATTACTATTTGGTTTAAGATAAACAAATTGTTAGGTCTTGTTCTCTAATACTACCTTTCATATAAAAGCTAACTTATATTTAGATATTTGTATCTTCATAGTTTTGCAATCTGCATATCTATTATCAGAGGTCTGTCTAGATTTTACTGAGAGGTACCTATTTTGTGACAATTTTCATATAATTTGTAAAGATTAAAAATTATCATTATAAAATCAACACAAAAATATGAATTTATCGTTTCTTACAGCATACAAAAATAAAACTTTAAGAAAAAGTATTTTGTGAAACTACTGTTTTTCCTAAAGTTGAATTTGTGAAGGTACCGCTATACGGTAGTAAATTTGGCCTAGGCAGACCGCTAATTGTCGTAAGCAAGATTGCATTGAAAAAATAATAATAAGCAATATTTAAATATTTTTGCAGCCCCAATTTTTTTTAAAAACTAAAATTGTTTAAAAAGTATCTGTTTAGATATTATTGCAACCTTTAGCTGCATGTAGTAAAATCATACTTAAGATAGCCAGATAAATGATTTATGTTTTTATAATGTAAATATGTACCTTCACTTTTCAAATTTAAAATGTATGTTATTTGTAGATAATATTTTATTTCTTGTAATTACAATTATGAATTTTTGTCTCATATTTTCATATAAAAAATTTTTTAGTTGCGCCAGTCTATACTGATTGTATTCTATTTTAGTTGCATCAGTCGTGTGATTGGGTAGATATCTGTATTGTGATTTGTGGCAATATAATCGCCAAGTCTACGCATCTTTCGGGCAGCGGCCCGCAAGAAACTTTTTAAAAAAACCACTGTAAGGCACCAATTTGAAAGGTAGGATAACTCGTAGCCACCCATGGGCACAAACATGTACTTTTTTTTAAAAAAAATTGCTAGTTTTTAATTTATCTGGCACCCTGGCGATTGTAGTTGGCGTGACAGATCAGGATACAGAAATACCCACATGTGATTCTTTCTTTAATTCGCAGAATTCTCAGAACCTCAAGCTTGTTGATCCGCGAATCAATAATTTATATTCTAACAAGATTTTGAGTTCCTGTTATCTAAAATTTAAATTTCATTACACAAAATCTCATTAATCAGACATTTATTTTGTCATCAGTAGCCTTTTGTTTGCTTCCTTAGTTCTCCTTCACCCACGCTAATCACTTATTTTTACTTAGCTTTGTTGGAGAAAAACGAAACTTTGAGATCTACTATGAGAACACGGAACTGAAAAAAAAAATTTCATAATAACCTCAACTAGAATTGATTCTAATAAATTTGCTCTTTTTTTAAAAAATTAAGCTGCCATCCCTTAAAAACACTTACCTTTATATTCATATTCCATTTTGAAAACAAAATTTATTCACTGTTCAAATAATTATGGTAAAATTGTCTAAGTTCATAGGTTTAATTCTGATTACTATTACGAATATTTACTTTGTTTGTATTGTTCACAACTAGTTACATTTTTATTAGTGTCTTTTTTTTGGGGGGGGGATTGAGAAATGGGGTTATTGTATTTTTTAAGTGAATTTAAATTTCAAACTATTTCTTCTAAACATATTTTTTTTTCATTTGAAAGAAATGGATTTTTACTTGTTTATTTTCTCATAATTATCAGTTTATACTATCAAAAATTTCAAGTTATTTATCAATTAATCGTTCTTTCTTAGTTTACTATTTTTTAAAAAGTAGCATGTCTTAAATTTTTTTTGTAAACTATAAATTTTATAAACCTATTTCAAGGATCAGATAGATGTTAAGTGAGTGCGTTGCCCTATTTTATTACTAGGGGAACTTTGTAATGAGGCCAATACTAAAATATAAAATTGATAATTAGTAAAGTAATTCTGAACTGGCAAACATTTAAAAGATTGCTTGCTTGAAATGTTTCTTCTCAATATGGAATTTTTTCCAATGTCCCAATAAAATAAAAGTTTAAAAAAAAAAATTTTTAACTCCTAATTTAAGGAGAAGCAATTTTGTTGTTAATTCCAATGTGTATCTCGAGAATTATTTAATCAATGTGATATATTTGCTCCTTTTTTTATTTGGCTACAGTTAGATCGAATAAACTTCTCATATATTAGGACAAGAAAATTCTGAATAACACGTTGGGCTCAATGCTACCATCCCCTAACTTCTGATGCATCGCCTGAAACCTATATTGACCTGTTGATATTTGTGTTAAATCTATGTACGGAGATGCAACGATTTACTGCCCAGTCCTATATGGCACACAAAATTTTAATCTCACATTTAAGTAAACACTTTTGATGCATTCGATTTTCATTGATACCAGTGTAGATCCATGCCATATCATTTTTATAGTTTTTGAACCTAAGTATCAAATATATTAATAATTAATGTATCAAATAATCTCTTTCTAGCACTCTTTGAGTATGAGTTTCACTGTATAAGAAATTCAGAGAATGATTTTAACATGGGACGGAAGTAACTTGCCTTCCACCCAAAGAATGACCTTTCTAAATTTTGTAATGGTAAGTTTGTAAATTGTATATTTTTTCCCCTCTTCATTATGTGAATAAATTATGTGTACACAAATGTTTAAGCTCTTTTTTTTTAAATACTGAGGTATTAAAATTTTTTAAATTTTCTTTGTTATTCGTTTAATCATTGACACATTTAAATGCTTATATTTTCACTAGAATGTTTATTTTGTCACTAAACATGTTTCTTTCCTTTTTCTGCAGAATTTTTTTTTGAAATATGTCTTTCTTGCATAAATAATCAAGATTTTTCTATTCTCGTTTGAGATTTTAATAAAAATAAGTAATGACTGGCTTCAGCTAAAGCTTCAATTTAATAAATAAAATAATTCAGAAATCGTGAAAGTGTTAAAGATAGATCACGTTCTAGAAACGATATTCTTTCTTTCATTTTTCTTTTCTTTGTAGAGCATCATATTTGCAGACACTTATTTGGGTACCTCTTTTTTTTAAGGAGTCTTATTCATGTAATTCCTGATCTTTATTTTGGTAGTTACTGCACAGATTTTAAGTTTTTTATGTATGAATTTTAATTTATTATAGTTTAATTTATTTGCAAATTTCAATTTGTGTAATGATTTACAAAATTCGAAAGAGGAAATAGTGAATTTTTACGCCTACAAAATGCGAGAATATCGCCTATGATATTAGAATTTAAAAAATATTACATCAACAATTAAAAAATTTTATACATTTTTATTCTATACTTTATTCTGTAAACACAAAGTTTCTGTTACTTTAAATTAGTAATTGTTCTAATTAAAAGTATCTTAAAGCAAAATATTCGTGCACGGAAGCTTGTAGTAGAAAGCTGAAAAAATTCTGCCTTAGGGATACTCAGTATTATTCTGATTTTTTTCCTTCAGATATATATAAATCAGAAAATTATGTATATTTTTAAAGTTTGGTTATAATTTAACCAACAAAAACCATTTGGTGCTATTATTATTATGGTGCCTCTGATGTGTTGGTTAAAAAAATATCTTCTAGGAGACGTGTTTTTGTATTTTTTTTCTTCTGTTTCATTCGACTTAATAAACACTTTAAAGACCAGTTAAACATTTTATGAGAAATGTTCGTGTCGTCTCTGCTGTAACAGAGACCTTAAAAAAATTTTTTTTTTTCAATTTTGATATTTTTTCAGTCTTTTTTTATAGGTAGTTATATTAAGTAGATAAATTAAGAAGATTCATTAAAGTTATGTTCATTTACGAGGGGCCTTTTTAGCCGAAAGTGAATGAACCCTTCACAAAAAAGGTCCTAGAAAGTTATCTCTGCACTTATCTTAAAATATCACTTTGAAAATATGTCACATAAACTTGATTCAAGTATCAAAATTAGCCTTTCTTGTAAGATTTGAAATAAGGAACCTTTTTAAATACATATTGTTTGTATTTTTAAGTCCGCCAAACGTTAGTAAAAACTTTAAGCATACATTTCAACTAAATAAATAAAATAAAAATTATTTGAATTTCCTTGTGTCCGGCTAACTGGAAAGTACCCATAATACCTTTTGATTATCTTATATATCTTGAGTATCTTGTATATCTGTTCTGCGAGATATATTTGGTAAACTTGTTGCTTTCACTATATTTAAAAAAATCTTAATACACCAAAAAAATTTTTTTACAGTAAAGTATTTAAATTTATTTATTAACTTCACTGTTTATTTTTTCTTTAGTTTTATTTTGATGAATATCTAATAATTATAGTAATGCAGGTTCAAAACTTTTATATTGTGCTGGCAGTTATATGAAATTGTAATGTAACATGACCTGTAGGCATCATGTTTTTTTTTTTTTTTTTTTTTTTTTTTTTTTTTTTTTTTTTTTTNATTTAAATTTATTTATTAACTTCACTGTTTATTTTTTCTTTAGTTTTATTTTGATGAATATCTAATAATTATAGTAATGCAGGTTCAAAACTTTTATATTGTGCTGGCAGTTATGTGAAATTGTAATGGAACATGACCTGTAGGCATCATGTTTTTTTTTTTTNTTTTTTTTTTTTTTTTTTTTTTTTTTTTTTTTTTTTTTTTTTTTTTTTTTTTTACATAACTTAAACTATTGGGGAAATATTAACTTGTAAAATCATTTTATTGAGAATCTGCCAATATGCTGATTAAATAGCAAAAATATAAAAAAGGGAATTATTTTGAAAGGGAAAGAAACTCCTAAGTGTCTAATTAAATTATTTTGATATATTATGCTATTTTATAGTTCATTAGAATTGAAAATAAAATTTATGTAATCATCTTTATAATGTGTAAGTTTTTATATTTCCTTTTTCAGAATGGCTGAGAGAGATGGAGGTGTTCCTAATCAAAAACGTTTAATGGATCATTCAGAAAATGTGGACTTCGCAGAAAAATCTGATGAATTCAAAAAATTATGTGAATATGGTCTTAATCCAAAAGTTGTGATTAAATTGGAAGAAATTTTTAAAACAGGTGTTTACACATATTCCATGATATTCTTTTGTAAAAATTATTACTTTGACGTAAGCATATCTTTTCCAATTAAAGCGGCACTTGCATAGTGCGCTTAACTTAGGTAGGGTCACATGCTGAAGTATTTAGTCAGACCACAATTCTAGCAGTTTTAATATAGACCTTAGTGCTAAAGGCACTATATATTTTTAATTGGTCAATTTAGAAATGTATTTGCATCAAATTAAATAATTTTAAGTAGAATTTTCATTTTATCTGTCACATAATGTATAAGTAAGTTTTAAAATAAAGACCCAACTCTAAAAAAAAAAACTAATTTACACCTAATGTTAAAATAAAAAGAAATTATTTTATTAGGTAATTATAATTGTAAGATGGTTCCATTAGTGTAGATTAAAGAATGAAATTTTTTTTCTTTTATGGATGAAATTTAAAACAGTTAATGGAACATTTCTAATTAAAGTAGTTGCTAAAGACAGGATGTCATAACAAAGACAGGATAAGCATAACAAAAATTTTCTTACCTTGCAGACCTCGAGGTGTAAAATTCAAATAATGCGGGAAGAGAAAGGGCACTTAAGAATTGCTTAGGAATCTATCACTGGAAATGTCATCATGCGACTTTAGAGGCGCTTCCCTGTTATTGACTGTTTCTACGTGTGCCTTTGAACAGGGACTTACATTTATCTTTTTTGTATGTTTTCTAATATTTATTGTTGAAAACGGCATTTAAATCAGTTCTGTATCAGATTTTTAATCCAATTTAGAAGATTTGGAGAGTTAGTCAGTTAAGTCGCAAATTCTTTGAACAATGATTAAAATCTAATACTGAACCAATTTCAATGCCATTTTCGACATTAATCGTTATAAAATATGAAATTAAGAAAATTTAGGTTAAAAAAAGAAGTTTACAAACACAGAAAAGGTTATAATAAGGAAATGCCTCGAAAGGCTAAAAATAAAATTTCCATTAATGGGTTCCAATGCAGTTGCCCTACCTCACCCAGAACTAATTCAGACTCACCCTGTATAATGGCCGAAATTGGTAATTTACTGGTGTAGTAGATGGTGAAAACAGGATTATGAAAAGGACAGTTTCTGATGAAAACAGGATCATAATTATTATAAAACTTTTATTCAGTAACACTTGTAGAGCTTGAGATATAAATTAAAGGAATGTTTAAAATCGACTTTTTAAGTGAAGTAATAAATTTTGCATAATATGAATTAAAAGTAGTATTTAATCAAGGCCTTGTAGTATAGGAGAGATCCATTATAGGCATATTATCGAAAAACGATACTGCCAAAAGAAAATCAAATTCTGCCTACCTGACTATATCTCATGTTAATAAATACTTGGCAGAATCATGTTGGCTGAAGATTTAAAGGTCGTTGGAAGTTAAAGTAAACCCATATATGTTAATACAGTAGAGAACCGATTATCCGGAATGATCGGGACTATCGCTATTCCGGATAACTGATTTTTCCGGTTTTCTGAATCGCTACAAAAAGCCGTTTTTTTAGTGTTAAACCCAACTAAAAAAAATATATTTGTAAGTAATCTTAAAAATAAGAAAAAACAATGAGGTAATACACTAATGATTATTTCTGAAANGAGAGATCCATTATAGGCATATTATCGAAAAACGATACTGCCAAAAGAAAATCAAATTCTGCCTACCTGACTATATCTCATGTTAATAAATACTTGGCAGAATCATGTTGGCTGAAGATTTAAAGCCAAAAAGTCGTTGGAAGTTAAAGTAAACCCATATATGTTAATATTTAATTCAATTTTTTGATACAGAACGAAAAACTGAATATTTCAGTGTTAACAGTTTATTTATGGATGCGTTCAAACTTAAAATTACGTAGTTCAAATATTGAGTTGCATTACGTATGTTATTCATGCAAAAAGCTAACATTACTCTTTAAATTTTTTTTATTTATATACCTTAAGTATAACTGCAAATCATGATAGAATTACGTTTTACCTTCCTGTTTTAAAATTTTATTTATTGGAATCCTATCTTTTTTTTTTAATTTAAATATAAACAGTATTTTTGAAACATCCAATTATAGGCTATATCAGGTTATATGTATTATTAAATATTAATAAGTCTATCAAAATGAAAAAGTTTATGCTATGAATAATTGTACTGAAATCATTCATTTATCAATATATACATATAAACCTTTTTAAAGCAGTGAATCTCAAATTTATAATTAGGGAAAATTTCTAGCTATTTTCTAGGGATTTTTCCTGTGCATGCAGTCAATCATTAGTTGTATCCATAATATTTCATTGATGGTTTTTATTTATTGCAGGTAAATTATGCTACAATGATTTGGACGAACGAGCTTTGGATGCAATTAAAGAATTTCCAGTAGATGGTGCTTTCACTGTTCTTAAGCAATTCCTTGATAGCAGCTTAGAACACGTTTCTAATAAAAGTGCGTTTCTGTGTGGTGTTATGAAAACTTATCGTCAAAAAATGAAAGTTCCTTCAAATACTAGTACTGGGGCTACCAAGGGGCCAGATGAGGAGAAAATTAAGGTATGATAATATTTTCAATGCTAAGCTACTACTTATAATTAGCTAACCTTTCAGTGTGAATCGAATAAAAATTCTTATTAATGTGTATAAAAATAGGCATGATTGTCGAAATTGATTTGATATATTTGTCTATCTTCTATTATAGGCTATTTTAGACAGAACTGGGTATACACTTGATGTAACTACTGGACAAAGAAAATATGGTGGACCACCTCCAAATTGGACTGGGTCACCTCCAGGAAGTGGATGTGAAGTAAGTACAGTGGGTATTGATAGTACATGGTGCATAGAGTTTTTTAAAGGTGTTTATATTCGTTTTTTAAAAGCCCTTAAAGATGCTTTTTTTTTTTCATTAGAAAAGTGCTTGATATACATTATCTGTTCGAAAATGAGATTTTCTTTTCTTTACCACAATCTTCGGTGAACCGATGGTCTGTAGCATATGCAAGCGCCCTATCGTTTTACTTTTTTGATGAAGTATTAGTGAGTCAGCATGTGCGTGTACAGTGATGGGTTCGGTGAGATTCTCTCATATGCAACTCTGCTGCATTTTGCAGGATATTCTCAATTTCAGGCTTCATTTTGCACCCTCTGAAATCGAAAGAAAAAAAATATGTAGATTTTTTTTTTTATGGTGGCTAATAGAATCGATGAAAAATGTTTCTTCTCAGAAACCAGCTGTTTCATCATGATCATGTAAAGTCTTTGAAAATTATTTTGCATTTTGTAATATACATAGTGCTTAAAAATTTTTTTGAGTACTTAAAAAGTGCTTATTTCTTGTTGAAAGATTTGGCTACATTTCCTGTAGTATCTTTTACCAACTTGTAAGTTTTATTTGCACCATAGGTATAATTTCAGACTATATTGAAATTTGCAAATCCAATATAGTTAGGACCTCTTCCTGTTTAAATTACTATTAGAATAAATCCATATTAAGATTGTTAGTGATGTTTCATGCAATTTTATTTTGCAGTTTCTTTTTTTCAAAAGTTATCTATATGCTGTTTTAAAGAAATGACATAATATTTTTGATATATGTTGTCCTGATTTTTTCTTTGTCCCACTATAAAGCCTGTGAATGTTAATTTTTGCAGAAGCCTATAAAATTTTTCCTTTTAGTTGTATAGTCTAAACTTGAATTTTTTTTTTATAGTAGTCCCTTTTTGTTGCAGATTTTTGTAGGTAAAATTCCAAAGGATATATTTGAAGACGAGCTTATTCCTCTTTTTGAAAAATGTGGTCCTCTTTGGGATTTACGATTAATGATGGATCCACTGACTGGACAAAATCGGGGTTATGCATTTATTACTTTCAAAAATAAATCAGGAGCTCAAAATGCTGTGAAGCAGGTATGATTGTAACTTATTCATTTTTCTTACTGTCCATTGAATTTTTTAGCTAAAAATTTTTTTCTGTACTTTAGCTGGATAATCATGAAATCAGAAAAGGAAAATTCATTGGCGTGACAGTGTCAATAAATAATCACAGGTTATTTGTTGGGAACATTCCAAAAAATAGAGGAAAGGACGAACTTTTTGAAGAATTTACTAAGCACGCCCGTAAGGCTTCATTCACTATTATCTCATTATTATTCTCACAACTAAGTTTTAAAAATAATTTTTAATTTTTTTTTATTTAGCTGGACTCACAGAAGTCATTATTTATAGTTCACCTGATGATAAGAAAAAAAATAGAGGCTTCTGCTTTCTGGAATATGATTCACATAAAGCTGCTTCTCTAGCTAAGAGAAGATTAAGTACAGGACGCATAAAGGTCTGGGGATGTGATATCATTGTTGACTGGGCCGATCCTCAAGAAGAACCTGATGAAGAAACGATGTCAAAAGTATGATTTTTTTGTTTATTTTTTTTGTATGATTCTAATCTTTAAAATAAAAAGCAATATTAAATATCTTGCAGCTGTATGAATTAAAAAGAAAAAGAACAAAAAGTATAACTTTTATGGAATTTTTTTGTACAATTTATAAGAGTTCGTACACGCTGGAATACTTGAAATAGTCAAAGAAAACTAAATTGAAAAAAGTTGCAATAGTCAGGGGGGGAAATAATTTTACCCCAAAAAACTGATATTCGTAAGGGGATTTGACACCCTATCATATGAAATTTCATTTTCACTACTGTAAGTTGTAATAGTCAGGGAGGGAAATAATTTTACCCCCAAAAACTGATATTCGTAAGGGGATTTGACACCCTATCATATGAAATTTCATTTTCACTACTGTAAGTTGCGCAGTAAAGTAAGTAAAAATTATTGAATTTTTTGCCAAAGTGGCAGGTATTGGATTCCTCAAAGATATCTATTTTTAAGCTTTTCCAGGAAAAGCCTGCAATCAGATGTCTGATTTAGATTGTAAAACTTCTGCCTTAAGAGAATTGTGTTTTTTTATTGATCAGAATCAGTGTTATTAGTTTTCGTTCCCGGAACATAATGTTTTTTAATCCACTTATGTTCTCAATTTTCATTATCCTTGATTTATTATGATAAATTATTGTTCTATAATTTCGGATAATACATTAATTATTACGAAAACTATTTGTTATCTGTTATGGAATATCATTCTTCGGTGTGAGATCACATCTACTTTTTTAAAAATTAGTATGTTTTTATAAAGAAATAAAAGCTGATGATGATTTTATGAAGCAGATTCTTTGGAGTTATTGATTGTTATAAAGCAAAGCGCTATGTTTTTTTTTCTAAAAATTTTGTACTCATAAAATTAGTTATTATTCATTAATTTTAAGATAAGATTTTGTTAAAATTAAGTTGATCTCGGTATTTATCTTGCATTGTCGTGGTTTTACTATTTTTGATGGTGCTTCCTTTGACTTTTGTTTCTGTTTGGTAATTTTTTAGTGTTTGCATTAATTTTCCTTGTATTTTATAGTTTTTTTTTTTAATTAGGGATGAAATATTTTTTTTAAATTAGTAATTTTGTTTTTACCTTAATTTGAAAATTTTAATAAATCTTCAGCTTGTTATAATTTGACTTCAATTAAGCGTGAATTACTGATATATTTATTAGTTTCTATTTGCGCCATTAAATCTCAGGAAAAGGCTTTTCTCTTATTCTCATTGCTAAGAATCTTGTGTACAGTTGTTCGTTCATAAGGAAAAAACTAATGCCAGAATTCTGGTAGTTAATGCTTTTCATCTTCAACCATTGCCAAAACAGGTTTTATCCATTATTAAAGGTTAATTTTACTGCATATTGTTAAAAATGGATAATAAGTAACATTAACAATTAGTAAATTAGATTGTCTCATTTTTTATTGCCCCATTTCTTTTTATCAAATAAATCCAACTTTATAGTGCAATTTAAACAAAAAAAAAATAGCTTTTTCCCTCCTAATTTAATTATGGCCATTATTTATTTATTTATTTATTTTTTTTTTTAATTTTCAAACAGTTTTAGTTGCTATAAAGAATTGGTCTTATACCTTTCTATTTAAATTTTAATTTTTATAATAGTAGAACTGATATAATAATCTAACCTTTAAATCTTATTTAATTCAAAAACAGTCAATTTAATTTAATTCATATTAATTATTTGTTTGGTTTTAAGTAAATTATGTTTTACATTTTTTTATGGAAGTTAGTTTTCAACTACGAGTAAATTCTGTGGTAATGTTTTATAAGCGGTTTAAAAATGTAGAAAAAGCTTCTCTACTAATAGGTTCATAAATAATTAAAGTATGTTCTATGCTTTTCAATAGTTAAGGCTGTTAGTTGTATATAATTCTAATTTTGAAGAAATGTTTCAAACCAACAGCTGATGATTTATTAGGGAGGAACTTTTAACTTAAATCTTTGTTTGTAACTTATGACTTTAAATTCTTTTAGGTTAAGGTGTTATATGCTCGAAATTTAACCACAGATGTTTCAGAAGAGAAATTAAAGGAAATGTTTGAATCATATGGAAAAGTTGAAAGAGTTAAAAAAATTAAAGATTATGCATTTATTCATTTTGATGATCGGGACCATGCCATCAAAGCCATGAATTCTCTGAATGGGAAAGAAATAGGTGGAGCTCCTATGCAAGTTTCTTTAGCCAAACCGCCCTCTGATAAGAAAAAGAAGGAAGAGATATTGCGAAACCGCGAAAGACGTATGATGCAGATGATGCAACAGCGAGCTATGTAAGCCACTTTTTTGCCATTTTCATTTTACATTACCATTTTAATTTTGTAATTACCTAAATTTCTTTTAGGGTTTATTTTGATTGTACTTCAGAAACTTAATTTTATTGTAACCAAGTGTTCTAATAATGACAAATTGAAAGAAGTAGAAAGGTATATGTCTAAGAAGGTAGGTAATGAAAGGTAGTAGAATTCTGCTTATAAAACCAGAAAATTATTCTCGTGGAATTTTAAAGTTGCTTACAAAGTTCCTCAATGGAACTTTAATTAATGTTGTTAATTACTTTCTGCTACATGTCAGAGTTTTTAATGAAAGATAGTTGCTCTGGCATCTGTTCATTTTGTACCCGAACTGCATCAAATTTTGAAAAAAAGAAGTTTTATAGTTTTCTGAGTTAGCCAAAGTATTTTATTATAATTTTTGTAATTTTACTCTTGTTACTAAGTTCTAATTTCTCGATTAAAATGAAACAATTTATCTCCTGTTTTAATTGATTTTTTTTCATTATTGGTTATTTTTGGAACACCTGGTAATATCTTGACAATTAGTGCTTAATATGTATTTAATTATTTTTTGTAGGATGATGGGTATCCCTCCTCCTCCACCGCGTGGTAGAGGAGCTAGGTTACCATTACCATCCACTCGCAATTACGGTAAGTTTTGATGAATTTTCATATTTATATCTTTTTTCTTTAAATGCTATTAACAAAACTCTGTTCTGCATATTCTTTCCATTGTGCTCTTGCTTCTAACTTTACTTATTTTGCTTGCTTTCTTTATTATAATGTTTAAAATATTAATATGTAATTGTTTAAAATCAATGATGTGCATGCATTATTATTAAAATGTATTTTTTAAATAATTTGTCTTAAATAAAGTGATATTAAATTGTTATAATTCTTTTATAAATGTGCTCTTTAAGCTGCTTAAAACCTATTTTTCTATGTTTTTATCTTGTATTCAATTTAATTATTTAATTGCATTGCATATATGATATTTTAAAGTCACCATGCGTTTATTCGAAACCAAAATCCTTATTGCTTTCTGTCAGATTATGACTACGACTACTACGGGTATGGTGACTATCAGGGAGGCTACGCCGCCGACCCCTACTATGATGATTATTACGGTGGCCGCTATGATGACTATTATGACTATGGATATGGAGCTGCACCCCGTCCCAGGGAACCCGTCGGTCGAGCCCGAGCTGGACCAGAGAGGGTGGGTTATGTTGCTGGAGTCTTGTCCTCGATAGTTCATCATTAGCTACAGTTTCCACTAGGAACAAAACTCATGAGGTTGGTCAAGTGTCTCGTAGTACCATTTATATTTAAAAGACACTGTCCTCCCTCGAGAAATATCATATCCGAGCAATAAAAAAAGCTCTCTTTATCATTTCCTTCTTTTCCTTTCTATTTCCCTTAAATTCCCTTTATGCATCTGCCAGATAACTTTAATGCTACTACTTGTGTTGTCGCTGCTACTAGGCCTATGTGACTCTCTAACTTTATTTCCTTAATAGTTAATCAAAAATTCATGGAAACAAAATTTTTTAAAATTGAATAATAAAATTTAGTTTGCTAGTAATGTAAGAATCTTGGCTCGGATATGATAGTGTTTTGTTTGTTTCTCTGTTTTTTGCTTTATGTGTTGTTGCTTGTAGATGTGTTTAACTCTCAAACCTTTAGTTTAATTGCTTTTTGTATTTTTAATTTGTATGTTAAATTTTTATTTAAAATTCTGAATATTAATGTAATGAATAATTTAATATTAGATGATTGTTTAACATATTTTAGTTCCATTAATGTACGTAGTAGTTAGTAGTTTTAAAAAGTTATTCTTTGCAACTTGTCCTTTTATTATATAAGTGTACAGTCTGTTCTTAATCTTTATTGATAGAGGGCAGTTAATTTTTTATGCTGTTCCTTTTTTTCTTCTTCAAAAAACGTTTTCTAAAAAAATTGCATGAAATCTGAATAAAATGAATTATTTCAGGCTCGTGCTGGCCGTGGTATTCCCCGTGGCCGCGCCACTGGTCCCCCAACTCCTCGTGGCAGGGTTCCAGTCCCACCACCCCTAGGCAGAGGTACCCGTGGAGTATCCCGTGGAATACCTCCTGGTCCCATCCCGGTTCACCTTCATGGAGCCATCCCCAGGGGAAACCTAGTAGGTAAGCCAGGACGGAAGTTCGACACACCTAGCCATCAAAACCAAGGGGACTCAAAACGTCGCTTCCAAAACGCTGGAACTGGGCAATGGGGAAGTCATCCTATACCCCAGCAACCACTGAATTCCACTGGATACAATGGCTACCGTAATCGGACACCGGGGAATCCCACACACTGGTACCAAGACTCTTATGGCCAACAGTGGGGCTAGTTAACTCATCATAAACTCAATACTGTTTTTTTATACTTGAACTAGTTTTTCTGAAGCCAAACTTTTTTTCATTCGAAGAGGAAGTGTCCTTGTTTTCGAAGGGAGCAACAATCTTCCTAATACATGTTATATGATGGTACTACAGCTTTTGATGTGTTTTGGCTGTTATTTCCTGCCCAAGGCCTATTCTAATTTGTGATTTGAAAAGAAAAGGAAGATAAAAAGCAATTGTTATAAATTTAGAAAATTTGGTATGATGAATTAGTAACTAGGTATACTTTGCATGAAGACTTATATACTGCTTTTATCTGTGGGCTCTTCTACATACATCATGTTTACTTGTTGACTCATTGAAAGATTGTTCTTATGAAGGTTTCATTGCCAGAGTAAGAGTTGTTAAGTTTTTGAAAGTATGCTATTCTTTTTTTTAAAGAATTTTTGAATGATTTACATATTACTTTATACTTTTTTTATTGTTTAATCTAAATTGTAGTAGTGAACTATGACAGTCCCTATGTTTATATCATTTTTGTTCTCTCTTACTTTTTTTAGCATTTGAGAATGTGTGCTTCAGTGTTTTTTTTAATGCTAAATAATTATTTCAAACTTCTCCTAATTTGCATAACGAGAGGGGTTTATTTTTTGAGGGTGTGATATAATTGGTTCTTACAAGGTAAACCAGCATCACTGCCAGCTACTGTGATAGTTTATTTGGAGTATGTTAGGTACCAGAATGAACTCGAGTCCAAAATTTTATTTAATGAATACTTTCTTTTATCTGTATAAAGAGTACTATTTAACTTTAAAGACTGAAAATGTATTTTTTCCGTTGACAAAGAGTATTAGTGACTCAGTCTATATCAATGATCCCCTTTGCTAATATTAAATTAATGTTTCCTATCTATCCAGAGGTCTATAAAAAAAAATATGTGCCATTTTCTGAGGTTTTAAGGTCTTTAAAAGCACATAAGCGGAACAACAGGCTAGTTGTATAAATTTAAAGTTTTATTTCAACATTTTTTTTTCCAGATTTGAATTTAAAATTACTGTTATTGTTTAAAAGAAACTAAAGAAATTTAAAAAGTATTTTGTAACTGAAGCAACCATTTTCACTATATTAGATAACTCACATTGTACATTCTAGTTACAAATTTGTTAAATCTGTGCTAAAATTTAGCCTAAATACTTTGAAAGTTTTTCCAACTCCTTTTTGAAAGTGTTGGAAACTTTTAAAATAGAGGGAAGAAAAGATTTAAAATGATGATATATTTTATGCTGCATTATTTATATGGTTATACATAGTTATTTCTAAACAAACTTGTTTTTATCTTAAAATATATTAATAAAATTAAATTTTTAGAAAGGATTAGCATAAAAATAGAAGACTGTTAAATTTTGTTGAAATGTTCAGTATCTATATTTAAAATATTTCTTGTATCTAATTTTTCTTTTAACTGCCTGAAATAACGGAAAATAATGAAATCTTGTCCTAAGAAATTTCTTGCTGGGAATTTTTAAAATTTATCTTAATTCAAATTCATGTTAAAGCAGTAAAATCTTGAATTGATTTAATTATTTGTTCTTAAAATTTAAAGGAAAAAAAATTACCATTTTTAAAGTTTTGTGGTAAAGACTGCACAAAGTTATATAATTACTAATTGATTGTAGTTTGCAAACACAGTATTAAACCAGTTGAGGAAATCGAAAATTTTTCTTGTTTTAACTATAAATAAAGCAATGTAAATAATTCATCATTTTTCGCGTTTGGAGTTTTTTCTTTATTGCTTTTTTAATACTTTATTATTACAATTATTTTTGTTGAATTTTATAACCACAGTTTATTTATCTTCTATAAGTGTTAGAAAAAAATGAGAAAAATAATCATGCAAGGTGTTAGGGAAATCGCTTTAAAAGACAATTTTTATTAATTAATCCCGAGTGTCAATGAGCTGTTGATTTGTTTTAAATCTCATTATTTCTAGTTTGACAACAAAAAAAGGATATAATTGGGAAATTTCCCATGTGTGTATATCTTCTTTGCTTTCACAAATTCATTGTATATGTGTAAAGAATTTATTTGCAATTATATATGAATTGTTTGGGGAGTAGTTGTTAGTGTATAAATATGAATTTTTAAAATTTGTGAATTTTAGAAGTAGTGTTGATGTTAGTGTTATTAATTCCCGGTTCCAATCATTGGTGTTTTTTTATATAGTTGTCATTGTTGAAAAGATAATCTTTATTTGTAAATGAATTGATCTGCATTGTGTTATTTACTCCCATTGTTATTGAAATTTATGGTACATTATTTCATATTTCTGGTGATTTAGAGTTTTACAACTCACACTCATATAGTATTTAACAATAATGTTTAATGAAAACACATTTTGCATTCAAAATCGAGATGTGCATTGATTTATTTTTCATGTGTAGTAGTTTAGTAGTTGTGGTAATTAAAAAATGGTGTCAAAACATAATTAATGCATTTTTCTGTGCATGTTATAGAAGCTTTCAAATTATGAAGAGCTCATTAGGAATAAAAATTTCCTATAAAGAACATTACTAATTGATACAAATAACTTGCAATATTACTGAATATTGCTCCTTTCTCAGTGCAGCTGTGACGATATAATGAAAAATTTTGTGACCAACTTACTCTATTATGACAAAAAAATAATGGAAATTCTCTTTTAAGAAAATGACAAAATGAAGCTATAGACTATTTCAGCTCTATATTTAATCATTTATATAATGAACCATACATAAAGTATAACCAAAGAGTCTTCCTAAAAAGGCCCATCACAGAGTACATCTGTGTGCACAGATTATAAAAACACCGGTGGCTTTTGATACCTAATTTGTCTTTTTAAAAAACAGGTGGAGCAACATTAGATATTGAAAACAAAGCGGACTGATTCGGAATATAACGACATTGATTCTTAACCTTTTTTTCTTTCTTTTTTTTAGAACAATATAAACTTTTTAATTCTTAATATTTATATTTACAAATGTTATAGAATTTTATTTTATTAAACAAATTCTATATAAGGCTAGTCAACAAAATTAAACCCCTTTGTCAGTTCTTAAACATTTTAAAATGTATTTGCTTTTGCTTCGAGGAATATAATTTGGTTTGAACACAATTTAAGCCAATTGGCTAGTGTGTTAATTTAATCTGGCTGCATGTAATCCCACATTAGTATTGTGATAATTACATTTCTTGAAATTTATTAAAATTTATATAGCATTGTGTACTTATCCTCATAAATCTCAATGCCAAAATTCAAGATAACAATTTATAAGTTTGAATGTATAAATTTGTCACATATAATGTGAATAAGTACTTTTATTTGGAGTTTTGATATATACTATACTATATCATTAAATTTTTGAAAGTTTTTCATTCTTTATAATGCAAATTTTTGTAATAATTCGAATAAATTAACCTTACCAATCAGCATTAACTTAACTGTGTTTGAATTCATTACCCTGGGTTAAAAACAAATATAATCTAAGATCTTTATCAACTGGCTAATTGTTGACTATTGTAAGTTTTTTTTTTTCTTCTAATAACAGGGGATTTGTAAAAAAAAAATACTGTTTACTATAATTGGCATAAACTTTGCTTGAAAAATTATCGGATTTCTATTAGAACTTTTCCTGAGCCAATAACAATTTGTATAAGGAAGTTTTATTGTCCACCAATTTTATATCCGTGTATATTTAATGAAAAATTTGTGTAAGTATATTTAGTCACTTTTTTTATAAACGAAGGAGTCATCATTAATGGTGCAGTCATTAGTATTGATTTTATAACATTTGTTGTAAATTTTTGTCCATATTTTTTGGATAATTTGATATATATACAAGATTTGTGACTTTCTAGCACTTACACATTCAAATAAAGACTGCATATCTTTTGTACTATCCTGTATTTGTTTTTTATATCTAATAGTTAAAGATTCGAAGAAGTTAATGTTAAAGATGAAATCTTATAAAAGTATGAGAAGGAGAGAGAGAAAGAAATTAAAAAGAGCGATATTTTATTACCTAGTGTCAAAAAAGAAACATTTTAAAGCAGCAATTTTTTTCTGTGATATTCTAATTGCAGAAAATTTACTGGATTGTTATGGGCGGTGCAATTTTTTTATAAATATGCACTACACTTTTTTGTGAAAGGCAGCTGACTAAACTACATTTCTGGCGACGTTTTTTTGTCGTCGCTTCCATGTTGACAGACTTATACAAGATTGCAGGCATGATTTATACTAAGCTTTAGGTTTGTGAAAAAAAAATTGTTTTTTCTGCACAGGCACCAGAGACAAGCTGTTCTTAGTTTTGTCTGCACTTGTAAAATTTCAAGTCAATTGATAAGGATTAATCTGCTTGATCTAATTACAATTAATCTTGATTATTTGAGACTGGTTTTGAAAATGTTTATCTGTAATACAAAAATCCTGGTGACATCTAAGAAATCTGATGACAAAATAATATTTAAAAAAAAAGCTTTTTTAAATGCTGTGTAATGGAAAAATTTAACGACAGGACTTTACTCTGCTGTTTCCGTGTTCTTCAAGATTTAAGTGACATAGTCTTTTTCCCTCTTGTATTGGACTGAATTTTATTGCAAGAGTTGAAAAAAATTTTAATGGATGAAATTTGATGTATGGAAATACTGAATTTGTGTTTTTTGGTGTTACTCAAAATGAAATGCAAATTTGTTCTTGATAATTGGAGGAAAAGGTATTTAATAGTTGTGAAATGGTATTAAGGCATGTGTAACATTAAAGAATGAATTTCAAATACATTTTACTGTATAAGTTAATAACTTAAACTGTTGCTTCATAATATAAGTCTCAGTCAAACCTTTTCCTCCATATATAAAAATGCATCACAAGTGTTGCAATCTGTGTTAAAAGAATTTCTGGAAATGTAGAATTTTTGCTCTACTTGTGATTATAATCTATGGTTTGATCGTTAATCTCTTTGGCTTACGTAAATTTTTGCTTATTAATGGTGGCAGTATATATTGTTAGTTTTAAAAATACTTGTTGTGTGAATTTAAAAATAGCCAAGAAATCAACTCCCATTTCAAGTTAAATGTGTGGTTTATGGTGTAAGAAATTTTTAAACTAAATCTTTGGATTACTAGAATTGGTGTATGTTTTTTATAAATGCTTGTATCTTGTATGCATGTGTAAGCTTAATTTTAACTAAAAGGAAATGCACTGATAAGAAAAACTAGTTATCATTAGTATACATATATATGGTGAAATTGCCTGATTAGGCACCAATTTATTTCTTGATGTGCTTTGAAAAATTTTTCCCATGGTGTTTGTGCACTCCAATAATTGACACTAATTAGTAGCTATTTTTAACAATTTTTTGCTCTGTTGGGATTGACTTATTTTATTTAAATTAAATCATCATATTAGTGCAAAATGACTAAATCAAAAATTAATCACAAGTATTTTTTTTATGATCAAAATGCTACAATTGAAATAAAATAAATTAAAGTCTTTTTGTAATGAATATTTCTACACAGTAAAAGAAAATTACTATTGAAGAATTTGAAAATTACTATTTTATTAAAAAAAAATAATGTACTAATGTGATGAAATTGCAGGTTGTTTTATTAAACAAGCCACACTTGGCTGTGATTTTTTTTAACCCTAAAGAAAATTGTTACAAAGTTGGAAAAAATTTTGAATAAAACTACCTGTCCAAAATAAAAGCATTGCCTTTTTCATATTAGGATGCAATTTTATGAGTATTTGCTTTATTTTCTTGCTTTTTTGTGCAATCAAATATTTTTCTTACAAATTTGTTAGAAAACATCTTTGATCGAAGAATTTACGTTGTCTTTCAAAAATGTTTTAATCTGATACTTCTTTTGCACTGTGGAATGTTTTCACATTTCCCTCTTTTTTTTTTCTTTCTCCCTTTTTATAGTTTTCTAGTCCTGTGTTCGCCAGCTTTTTTCTAGTAGCTGTTGTATTCTGGCAATATTTTGAAAAGCTAATTGTTTTCTAATATTAAAATTTGTTTTTATTTAGCCGTGTTTGATTTCCCCTGATACTGGTGGCTATGCTCTGAATAAAAGAAAAAAATTGTAAAACTTGCCTGGAATAAAAACCAGCTTGATTTTATTGTGTGGTCTTCTTATTTTTAAATGTATTTCTTATACAAATATGACTAAACTTAACGTATAATGCATTTATTCAATGGATATTAAGATGAACTTTTTATAAAGTACTACTTAGAATTAATAGTGCTTTATATTTTAATTTTGCTATTTTAGAATTAATTATGACGTTCAAATCTCAAAATGGGTGATGAATTTTGTTTCGGAAAGAGCACCTTCTAATAAGATAATTTTCATAGTAATTCATTAGGTACTTGGTATGCTTAAAAGAAATTAATTTTGTAATTTTTCATTAAAAAATCTTTAAAATTTTAAACTGAATTATAATGTACATCACTGAAGCAATAGAGTAGATAAGTTTGCAAGACTTGAATTAAAAGAAGTTTTTATTCCAATATGAACACCTTTCATTATATTTTCAGTAACTAAATGTATTTAAAAATGCTGATTTATGGTTAAATACATACAAAATACTATAAGACTTAAAAATGGGGGATCTTTTGTCTAGTTAAGTAGGTAGTCATACATAAAAAGTTTGATAATGAGATAGGGTTTTTGTGGCAATCAGTTTCCAATTCTGTAGGTGTACTTAAAAATTCAACTTGTAATATTTTATTAAACTTTTAGTACAATTTAATGCTGACAAGACTTTAAAAAAAAAAAAAAAATTGCATTTGATAATTCTTTATTTTATCAAGTTTAAAACCTTCCTGTAATTTTAATGTGTCAATTAAACTAATGGTTATTAGTAATCTGTCTTAAAATTATTTATTCAAAGTCATAAAATTTTTTATTTTATCTAATAAACATGGTATTTAATAGTTGTGAAGAAAAAACAGCTCTTTTTTTTTAAATGTATATCAGATGAGGTCCAAATACAAATTTTTACCGTTTTCTCGCTCACAAGAAAAACTTGTTTTTTGAAGTTTTAAATCAAAAAGAAAGTTTTTAATTAGATTGTTTTGTAATTAAATTTTAAAAACATGGATCCATGTTTAATATAGTTCAATTCTGTTTTAATGCAATTTGAAAACATTTTCCTGCCTCTGGAATAAAATAGTCTTGAATGAACTTAACATATTAACAGAGTGCGGGGGTGTTGTAAAAAGTGCTTAATTTTTTTATCTTTTAAAAGAGATTTTTTCTTTGTTCTAAATTACAAAATGATTTTCACAATTTCCTCTGCAATATTTATCAAAAACTAGTTACTTGATCATGATTATGTAAAGTTTGAATTTTATTAAAATGAAGAACTTTAAACGATAGAAAAAAATAAATTTTATTACTGCACAGATCCTAACTAGGACTTTTTTTTTTGGAAAGTGATTAAAAATATTCATTGAGTGCTGAAAAAGTACTTATTTTTTGTTAAAGAATCTGGCTACGCACCCTGATTAAGTAGGAGTGTAGGCTAGTAAGTTGAAATCTAATTGTTTGGATATAATCAAATTTGCTATAAGCATGGATGAGATTTTTCCGTTTTTGTCCCTCGAATTTCAGCCTTTTTATCAAAAACTGCGATTTTCTATAAGTTTCGTTTTTTTTTTTTTTTATAAACCTCATTTTCTAAAAATTCAGTCAAATAAAATAATTCTATTTATTTCCGATTTTCTAACCCTTCCGCATTTTTACTTATTTTTGGCTGTTTTCTTCACTTTTTTTTAGCTCAGAAAATATGATTTTCTCTACTTTTACCCCCGCCTGCCAGATAGCTTATATTTTCGCAGGGCTGATTGTGCTCCGGAAAAAATCCGGATTTCCGGAATTTTCGCTAACAGTGATCCGGAAGTTTCCGGAAATCAAATTTTCAAAGGTGGAACTTAAAAACACAGTTTATTTAATTTGTAAGGCAGAGCAAGAGAGATACTTTATAAGCTTATATTCATGATTAATATTCATTTTTTATCAGTAAATAGTTGTTATAATCATAAATTCAAGAAAGAAAGACATTTTTGCAAAATTTAATTACTTCTCCAGGTCATCATAGGTATGTGTAAAATTTTAAATATATTTTAAGTAAACTAAGAAATATTGAGAAAAGGGAGAAAAAAACTTGTTTAATTTTTTTTCTAACATTTCAATTTAAACTGTTCTTTTTTGTCTTTTTTTTTTTTTTTACCTCAAGAAATTTTCCGGAATTTTGACTTGGGCTCACTATCACCCCTGTTTTCGTAATTCAAACGTCGTTGCGTCATGTTTGCTGGCGCGAAAGCAAACGAAATAATTAAAAAATAGCAGTGGATTTGCGGTGAAAATATTTATCTGCTCATTTAATTAATCTTGTAACTTTTTATTTATTATGGCTAAACAAAAACAATACAAACTAGCCTCTTAAAAATCTCAAGGCCCAAGTTTGCTAATATCTCATGATTCTTATTCAAGCTATTTTAATATCAAACAATCGATTTTCGTATTTACCTGGTTTAAAAGTTGCGATTCTTATTCACACCATTTAAACATCGTACATCGCGGTTCTTATATACAAGCTTTAAAAATCTAAATCGCGATTTGTATTTACGAGTTTTTAAAACCCTATGTAGCGATTCGTATTCACGCGAGTTTAAAATAAAATGTCGCGATTCGTTTTTTGCGTTTGTAATATCTAGCATCGATTTTCATATTTATACTTGATTTAAAAATTAGGACATTGGGATTCGTATTTATGCGATTTAAAAATTACACATGCTTTGTATTTTCACATTTTTTAAATTCGATATCGAGTTTCATATTCATGTGATTTAAAAGCCACATATCGGGATTCATATTCTCTCAGCATAAAACCAAATATTGCAACCCTTATTCAAACGTTTTTAAAATCAAGCATGTGATTCATATACATACAATTTTAAAATTAATCATTGGGATTTATAATCACATGGTTTAAAAATCGCACTTTTTTTGTCAAATTTTTGGATATCATAGCTTCTACAAATATATATTCATTCTTGGCTTTCCTCTTTTTTACTTTCTGGAAAAGGAAAGAAAAAGAAAGCTAAGGAGTAGGCTAAATTTCATCAATTAATATATCTCTCCCATTTTTTTTAATAAAAATTTTCTATTTCTTTAAAAATGTAATAAATATTTTTTGTTAAAAATTAAACATTATTTTTCATAATTATTGCGAAATGATCGAGCAATGATGGCGCACAGCTCAGTGATAGAACAAATTTGATTGAACTTCAGATCATACTTGCTTAAACAAAATTTGTACCATTGTTATATCTAAATTTGTTTCAGTTTACATGTTATCCTCAACATTTTGAAATGCTATTCAAAGTTAAATTAGGAGTATTTTTTTGGGACAAAAAAATAATGGGGAAATGAAAAATAGCTTCATTAGAAAATCAGTAGTTTATTATTCAATGATTGGTGTGAAAATTTGTATAAACTTAGCTGATATTTTTATTTTGTTTGCTGTAAAAAAATTTATTAAATCATTGATTTAATATTCAAGCAATTATTTTGGCGAAAGTACATTTTGAAAGCAGTGAGCTATAAATTTTTGGTCAAAATTTACATTTTTTTTAAGAGTGATACCCATGGTAATATCAGGCTTCTTCATATTCATAATGGTGAAAAAAATCTGCACATTTTTGGTGCAACATACTCTTACTATTTTAAAGAGGAAATTAAGAGCTAAAAAATTTTATGAACTGCTCTAAAAATTTTGTTTTGCTCAGCATATTTCTTTGATCAAAATAGGTTTTACGCTTTCGTTATGACTGTCCACTCTGCTCATTGAAGAAGCACCACACTGCGAAGGTTGTGCACAGCATGTCTGTAAGCTGATGTTCGGAGTTTCTTATTAAAGGGTTATAAATAAAAAATATTTATAAATCAACTCGGTATGAAAAATGTTAAAACAAGGGTCAACACACCACCCCCCCATTAAAATTTTTGCACTAAGATTTTTTTAAAAAAGAAAATAATTTCTATGTCTGTAAAAAAAATGGAGTAAAAATTTTTTCAATTGTTTGCATTTAATACAAATAATAAGGCCACATTTACTAGAAATAGAAAGTGATGTGATTTCTCTAAATTTTTCCAAGTTTCTTATTGTATTAGATTATTTTCTTAGGTTAAAAAAATACAACATTCAGATAATTAATCCATTATAAAGCACCAATTTTTACTAGTTTTATAAGAAGTCAAATTGAATTTTTTTTTAAATAGATTATTGACATATATTTTAAAGACATCCTTACTCATTAATATAAATTGAATTTAACATAAATTATCTGTAATGCAAAAAATTAGTTCAAGTGTTAAAATCAAATAATGCAATTAAAAACAAATGTTTTTATTGAATTAGTTTTATTAATTGGAACATATCTTTACAGCTGCTGGATATAAAACTAGACAAAAATTCCAGTCATCTTGAGTTGGAAATATTAAATTAAATCTACACTGTTAGCAACAGGTATTTGAATAGTGATAGTCACAACATTATAAAATTCGGTAGGAAAAGACCGAATACCTGGTTATTATGAACATATTTAATTCCTCTAAACTACATAAATTAGCCAGAAAAGAAAAATTTGGCACAAATTAATCGCACACATTTCTATTTTTCTTTTTAAAAAAAAAAGCAAGTGAAAAATTCTTTTTTTCATTATATTGTATTGCACATACCACCAGTGCTTTTGTTATTTAAAATATAAATGTTATACATATATATACAAGAAATATATAAAAATATTTAATAACTTTGTTGATAGTCAGGAATGCTTTTTCTTCTACAATTCCTACACTCAGTCTTATAGTCTCTGTTAATTACAAGTATACAACAGTTCTTGTGCTTGTGTCAGTCTTCAAAATATTCAGTCTTGGCAAAGGCAAATTAGTTTGATGAAATGCTTATTTTGCCGTTTTTGGTATGAGTCGTAATGGAAGGAGACATACCATTTGATGTGTTTGTGATTGACTGTGGACTTTCATAAGGAACGTATATTCGGATGGCATCGGGTGAGTTCATTCTGGCTGGCGGAGGTGATTGTTTGTAGGCTGCTTGGACACTTTCTTCCAAATCGACGTTATCGTAGATTGACACTGCTCGGTGCAAGGGGAAGCCAGATGAAACGATAGATGGACTAGATGTTTCTGAGGCCGTCGAGTGGTCATTTGTGGAAGTTTCTGAAACACTTGTCTGACTTGGAAGATGCCTGGATGGAATTTTGCCATCTATAGAACTTATGTCTTGATCTCTACTACTGATAGGACTGTCGCAAGGAAATTTACTGATAGTAGCATTACTTTCATCGCTTATATTGGACTGGTCTCCATTGGAAAGAGTCTGAAAGCGAATATGCAAATATTTTAATGAAATTAATCTATTATAACATTTGTTAGTCATAAACAAGTTAAAGACAAATTATCTGTTCAGTGTGAACTTTTTTTTTTTCATGCATTGTCTCTTTATACGGAATACTGAGTTAACAAAATTCATGTTTTGTTTTTTTAAATGTGTTAACAATAATTATTATTAATTAAAATTAATAATATAGCTACAAACAAACAGTTGATATTTCTAACTAAAACGTTTCAATAATTATTACGAACTATCTACTGAATAAATAAAATTCAAGCTATATTCAATTTTGTTCAAGCTATACATCCTAAAATTTAAAAGACAGGAAGGCAATTTATTATTAAGATTTTCAATGAAAAATAAAATAGCTTAGATCATAAAAAAATAATGTATACTTTGGGCAGAACAAGTTTTTTTTTTCAATATTGGTAAACACTAATTATACATTTAATAGGTTTTAAAAGCATTCAAATAAATAAACTAAAAAGGCATACCGAATTGAAATGTGTTTATAACCAACAAACTACAGTCAAACCCCGCTATAGTGAACCTTCAAGGGACCGACATTTCTGTTCACTATAACCGGGAGTTCACTATATCTGTTACACAGGCAATTTAACTAATGGTTCCTTAAATACTCCCTTTTATAATACATTATTCAAATAAATGACTGAAAAATATTAGGTAGTAGCAAAAAATTTGTTACTTTCCATTACTCTTTGTCTTGCGTACAAAAAAAAAATTTGTAATCTTTAGCTGATGAGCAATCCTGAACATCAGATATGGAAAAACTTCCCAACTCCCAGATAATTTTTCCTGAATTTCTATTATTTCTCTTTTTAAACCTGTCTAACCTGCCATTTTGGCACATAAAAGTAGTCTCATAAAATCGCTTAGCATCATCGACATTTGTTTAGATACTGGAGATTCTTCTAATGCTGAACCACTTTAGTAATGCTTCTTCAACATAACTGGGATCTGCTTTTCTAAACTTTTTTCTGGCATCTAAATTTTTTTCATGAGCAGAAATTATTAACTGCCTATTTTTTTCATATGTTACAAACTGCAGATTTGGATAGTTTATATTTTCTGCAAATATCAGCTTGATTGCATCCATTTAAAAATGTTTTTGATTACGACCATTTTATCATCAAAGAAGAACGTTTTACGTTTACTGCTCGCCATAGTTAAATTTGAGAAACTTGTTACTTGTTTGCAGGCTTTATTAAACTGAACTGAGAGCAAAAAGGAGTTGAAATGAGGGCCTTATCGACTCATATTAGTGTTGACCAATAATGCCTCATTCGCTCTGACAGAAAATGCATATTGATCCCACTGACACCTTACAGGTGCACCATCATCTGCCTGGGTTGGAAACATCTGCTTGGTTTTTTTAGGGATAGGAAAGTGAGATAAAAGAAGCAAACAAGAAAAAATGCTTATAACTACATTCCCCTCAACAGATGATTTTAAAAATCGGTGTATTTATTTTGAAGTAGAAATTTCAAAAAAAAAANAAAAAAAAAAAAAAAATGAAGAAAAAAATCAGACAAAGACAGAAAAAAGTTCATTATATCCAACTTCCTCACTCTTTTGGTTCACTATATCCACAAAATATAACATTATACATGTATAGCAAGGCGAGGGACCGAACATTTCGTTCACTATATCCGGGAGTTCACTATAGCGGGGTTTGACTGTATTTAACACACAGCTAATAGAAAATCATATTTTAATAGTTTAATGTAACGCTATTCACTTATAGGTTTTACGCTTTC